ATGCCTATGAATCATTTTTAACCTAACTTTAACATTATTGTCTTTTTTAGAGTCTTCTTAGAACCTTGTGAAGAACATCGTTGATCATCGCCTGTATCTTCTACAGTTGGATCATACAAAACCACGTGATGCTCAACTATCTCGCTGTTGCTAAGGGGTATTGCAGGGTGTCGAACTGCGATGTTGAATTGAAGTTCATTTCTAGAACAGAAGCCAAAAATGACTTTACCACTCCTATCAAGAAGTCCAGCCAGCGTTAAACATATAGCGCAACACCGCATGTTAGCCCACACACATTACTTACCCGGATGCTGAGGAAGTGACTCGTCTTCCCTAACATAAATTCTATTCGTTTCTTTCTTGCGCAATATTCGTCCATGGTGGTGGTCTCCATCGAACTTGATGATGTCTACGAGGCCTATCATTGTTGGAGGTGGTCTTCAAAGAGGATGGCTGCATCCTCTTGGAGTGTAGTCCACTTTTTTCGTCTTATCATCGTTTCTCCATGTTATCTGACCGGCCCATCTGCGTTTTTTTGTTAATGTAAATTTTTTTGAATACCAAAAAGGAGATAGGTTTCGAAGGTATCAGCTACATATTGCGGCTAGATATTACACGGGCCAACTTTATTTCAGAAGATGTCGTTCAGGCGCTTTCTAGGTGGTGCGCAGATTTCTTGACGTGGTTGAAGTATCAGCTCACATTTGTACTACATAATAGAACGCTGATAAAAAGGATAAAGGACAAAGCTTTCAGCGTTGATCAATCCTTGAGGGATGTGCCATGCCTTCGACTTCCTTAAGCATCGTTTGGAGGTGATTGAATGCATATCTGACCTCTCCTCCCGGTAGTCTGCCGATGTATCGAGCCAGTGCTGTTATTTTTCCAGACAAGCCTGGTAGCAAATTAGCGACCCAGGAGGGATGAAAGGTTCGGTAGGCCGTGGGCGCGGGAATCCATTCCACGTGTGTGCTGCATGGCGCCTTCGACCACCGCGCCACACGTGTCCTAGCGCTGATAAGACTGTTTAATCGAAAAGTCAACTGCGGAATCGTTGGTCTGTTAGCTGGTCGGTGGCTTCTTTGAGTGGCCCGAATGCCATGTTCACTGAGCGACCAAGGTATACATATTAGGTGGTCTGTGTAATCAGAGAACTATACAGTTCGATATATTCGCTTTAATACCATAGCTCTTTCCTTAACTGGGTTTTCATCCTGTTTATGCGCAGTCCGATCCTATGTTCCTTCACATTTCGCTGAGCTCATTCATCATCTTTTCCGCATCACGGTGCTACTCTTTTGGTTACCTTTCTTGGGTACGACGACCGTGCGCTGTGTCCTCCACTGGTCTGGATTTTTCTTTTCTGAAGGTAAAATGTCATGTGAGCTGCAAGAAGTATATGTAAGTTGTGGTCACTAGGTCTAAGGAAATAGGGGCGGTGATATTATCGGTTCTTGGAACTATGCTTGTCTCCAAGTTTTTTACGCAACTCGAGCTTCAGAGAGTCGATTCCTGGGCGGTTTTTCACCAGCAGGGATTTGGCGTCTAAGATGGAGGCTGTGGAGCTCAAAAGATTGGTATATAACTGTTTCGTTGCCAAATCCAAATCATGGCAAACTATTTTGATAGTTCTATCTTTATAGAGCTCCCAATGGTTTACCGCCTCATCGTAGCCGAGAGGCATTTCTGGGTGTCAGCTTGTGATGTACAGCGGGTATTCATCACACTGGCAGGGTTTCCCAAGTTGAGGAGTCTGGTGTTTCAATGAGGAACCCAGCTAAGAGTAAACCAATACCGAGATTAACCACCGTCCCGGTATCAAGCTTGTCGCATGGTGGCAAATCTTCCTCTGATCCATAAAGGCAACGACTACCATCAATGAGTCCATCTGAACGAGATCTCCCTTGTTAGTGCTCAAAATACGAGACTGATCGGAAAACATGCGAACAAAAATGATAGATTCTGCGCTCTATCACCTGTCACCTGTAGGCCCGTTGATCGTCGAGTGGCTCGATTGGGCGCCACTAAATCTTACATTTTTCCCTGTCGCGTGCAAGAGTAGCCCAGTGGGTTCTGCTCGCTCAAGCGACTCGTCGTGTATCACATTTTCTTCAAGGCTCTTTGTGAGGAACTCTGGCCATCGGGTCGGTGATCTTCCTGCAGTGTGTTTGACATCCCGAGGAATCCAGTCACTAGTGGCTCCTGTCCATCGGTTGTCATTCACATGCATTATGTGTTCGGCCCACCTTATCTTCGACTGTATGGCGTACAGAACGGTATCTTTGATTTTTTATCGTTGACGCAGATCGGCGCTTCGGATCCCATCCCTTACTTGTGTGAAATAGGATACTCGCAGCATTGTCCTTTCGACTGAGCGTTCCATAATACTGAGTGATCTTTCATCCTGCTTATGCAGCGACCGGGTTTCTGATGCACGCGTTAAGGCAGAAAGTGTCGTTGAGCCTAAAAGTTGGTCATGGAGTCAGGTGTTTTTTTTATTCTTACTAAATCCTTAATTCTCTTGATTTCCCAAACCGCTCGCTTCAACCTGCTCAACTCTAAAGCCAGGTTGTTCGTCATGTTGATTTTCCGACCTATAAAGAGGTCACACTTTCTGAACAACAGTATGGTCTTGCTGGTATTCCTTGAATGTGGGCCTTGCGTACTGCCAAGTAAAGTGTGAAAAGCCGAACCACTATGTGGATGAGCAGTGGCGGAAGGTTCTGGGGTTGCTAAGATATTATAATATCCGGTTCAAGTGTTTCTCGATTTTTCGCCTACCAAAGAGCAAATAGGATTTGGGAAAGGAGAACATATGGGACGATACCTTCATCCTTCTTTAATTCCTATGAGGGCAGAATGACGTGGTTATTGCGGAGATTCGAATAGTAGTCGTGAATGATTTCCCCTATTGTCTTTCTGCTATTGTCATTCTGGAAAGTGTAGTTGTACCTTCTGAGAGTCACAGTGCAATTATACTAGTTGGTGAAGCTTCTTTGAGCTTTACGAGTGCTTGTCCAGCCTTTGCAGCATCGAAAATAACTGCTGCTCTTCTCTCTTCAAAAGCTTCTTTTACCGCCTTTTGCCTTGTTTTGGAAGTTCGCACCTCAGTGGACGGTTGCTTGTTGCTCATGCGTTTCCACATTGGTGGATCAGCTAGAGTGTTTCTGGAGACAGACGTCTCTTGGTGACTTTCGAACTATCAGTCTTCACAGCAATATTGTGAAAATGTTAGATGAACCGATCGTATTCCTCGTCGACTCTACAATGAACGGTATCTTCCCAACAACCGGCTACTGAGCTGGATTAATCTCATCTTATTGCGGCTTCGGTACTTCGTTTTTTAAAGGCTGTTCTCTTTTTCGCGAGAAATGATGTCTTGTATAAAGGAGACGATGATCTAATCCCGTGTTGAATTTTAGGAAAACAGCAACATCGGTGAGTATGATGTTTGCTTTCTCGTTATGGTAATCTCCATTGGGAGACTCTAACGTCCAGGTTTAAGACCAGGACTTCTAAAACTTCAAGTTACCATAAATGGTTTCGTTTGTTATGATAAACCCAAACGGTTCACACCCAACTCGTTCCATTATAACCCGAGGATCCCAATGTGATACTGTTCAGACGTTCTTCTGGGACTAGTCTTCCCGTTAAAATCTCCAAATGACGACCTCAAAGAATCTGCTGGAAGCAAATATCGCATTTTGTTCGCGACCAACACCCTATTCGCTACCTGGAGACGCGCCACGTTGCTTCGCGACTACCCAGCATAACATTCCTCTATGAGCGGTATTCGTGGAAGTTTGCTCACCAAAATGATATTTTGAACCAAAATGTAACTTTCGAACTCTTAATTTTCACGCGCTAAAGTGAATATGTTGAATGGACCCATCGTATTCTTCTTTGATGTTATCCAGGTCGGTATCTTTCCAACAGCAAATTAATGGATTTAATTAATTCCAGTTTATGATGGTTTTAAGACTCGGTTTTTTGAGTTTCGCAGGTTTCTATTCCTTCCGGGAGAAATGAGGTATTGAACGAAGGAGGCGATTGTCTGCTTCCGTGTTGAATTTCCGAGTAGCAGCGGCATCGGTTAGGGAAAACGTTCGACTTGCTGTGATATGGTCTATTTCTTTACGGTATTCTCCGTCCAAAACCCAGCTAGGAGGAAACCGTTAACCAGAAATCAGCACCGTCCTTGTATCAAATTTCTCGGTTGGTGGCAAATATCCCTTTCAACCACAAGGGAGTGACTTCCTAGGACGGTGACAACCTGATGAAAGCTTTGGCTAGGTTGACAGCCGGACTCCAGCGAGTAATATTGGCTAGACAAGCAAATCTCCAAAGAATGGAAATTCTGTTATGTTCCACACAGCCAGTGAAGACCGGCTATCCAAGTGTCTAAGTAAGTAAGTAAGTCAGCATTGCGAGAGACAAGGGTTGAAAGTAGGGCTTCTGGAATTCTGAGTTACTATGAATGGTTTTCGTCGTTAAGATAAACTCAGACAACCACTCACACTGCTTGTGCCATTCTAACCCATGGTTCCCAATACTACGTTCCTCAGACGTTATTTTTTGCCCAATCTTTTTTAAAATGTGTGATACTGGTCTTAAAAAACATATGGTCTTTTCTGTAGAACTTTTCCGTGTCCATATGGAACGTTTCGACTTCACCTATATGGCTTGATTGCCGTTGGGTAGACGATGAAGACTGTCAAAGCCGGCATTGATCAATGTCTCCTCAACGGAAAACGCCTGATTCTTAATTGTTCGAATGCCTCGAAACCGTCTACCGCCTAATCGTGGCTGGGAGGTGTTCCTGGCCGTCGGACTGCTATCTACAGCGGAGAGATTCGTGTCCCCGCCAGGGTCTCCCAAGCTGAAAAGGAACCCGACACTTTCATCAGCTAAGAGTAAACCAATACCAGGATCGACCACCGTTCTAGTATCAAAGTCGCATGCTGACAAATCTCCCTCTAATCCACATGAGCGGCGACTGCATGCGGTGGCCACGACCTGGGGCAGACTTTGGCCAGGCTGACCTCGGGATTCGAGGAAGCCGCATTGGCTTAACCAAGAAATGTCCGAAAAATGGTGATTATGCTGGGGTCCACACAGTCAATGAAGACGGGCCGTTCAAGTATCAAATATCAAGTAAGTTGTTCGAATGAATCGATGTTAACAGACAAACTCGTGCTGACGAGATCGCCGGCGCTGCCGACTGCTCTACTTTCACATGTTACGAAGAACCATTTTGGTCCGGTTTCAATGACTGCATTGATTTGGTGTAGTCCTCTCGTATCAGCTAGCGCGATGACGTTGCACATTTCCTTTCTTGCCTGCATGATCACGTCCTCTATCGAGGAGGTATTTTTTGTTCATAAGAATATGATCGATCTCCGCATGAGTCGTGGCGCTGGAAACTCCTTTTTCCATAGACGAATGTCTTCCTTCTCGAAATATGGGTTGCATGAAGAGGTGTGCTGCGGATAAGACCATCGCTATGGATCGCTTCCTCCAATCGGTTGTAAAACGAGTCCCGTTCGCTCTCACTTCGTTTACCAACTGTTCGTGATACTGAGTTTCTTTCGAAGTGCAAGTTGGAGAAGAAGAATGGTCAAACGCACTGATAGGTCTTCGTGTGAGGTGACTAGATGAAAAATAGACGGGTGTACGAAAAAGCCAGCGCTTCCGACATTTAACAACAGGATTTTTCCTCCATGAATGCGAAGGGTTCCGTCATCTAATTGGTGTTTGTCGGTCTATCTGCACTTCGTTTCTTGTAGCAATCTCAAGAATATTGTAAAAGTCGAGGTTTGCAAACATTGTTCTGGCGTTGTAGGTGCACAGCAAGTAGCAGTCGCCATGACATATCGTGGGCATGCTCGTTCTGTCCCATTCCGTCCTATGCCACCAGAGAATTTGTCCCCTCTCACGGGATATCCCGACGCCCGACATGGTAGAAGGGAGCGCCCAATTTTCGGGGCGCCAAGGCCAGAATTTTGCTGCTCTAGCCCAGAGTCTCGAAATCAGTTAAGCCGAAGCATACCTCTGGTCGTCACAACCACAGGCCTTCGCCGCTCTTATGGATCAGAGAGAGATTTGCCATTATACTAGTTTGATACCAGAACGATGGTGATTCTTGGTGTTGGTTTATTCTTAACTGGGTTCCCCTTCGCCAAAGAAGTGGAAAAAGATAAAAGTCGAAACGAGAAGTAGCGAGGACAAAACTTTTTTTGTCCTGAAAACGATATCTGTGTTGATATATTGTTTTGGTCTTCATGACTGGCACACATACCCATTCTCGAATTACAGGCGGCATACCTGTTACATGCTTATACTGGACATGGAATCTATCCAGCGACATCGGAAGGCGAGTTCCTTCTATCACATCCGGAGTACTCCCATTTGTTTAATTTTTCAATTTTTCGTAGTTTCAAATGATCTACTGTTACAGATATCTATAAATTTATACCAACTAACTTCACAGAAATCAAAAAGCCGAAAGCGAAAATGTATGAGGCTGGATTTGTGTTCGCAGCAAGAACAAAAGATACTGTAGAGAAAATTCTTAAATGGTAAGTCAAGATCAGAAAAATGTTTCTACATCGAGAGAGCGGTCTTCAAACTGCCATAGTTGTACTGATGTGAGGTTGTTATTACGCATTCTCGAAATTTAATGGCCTCGTTTCGGCGATTCCGTCTTCTTCAGAGCAGTTTTCTCTTCCAAATAATAGAGCCAACCGTAGGCGGCTCACATTCGCGGAGCAATATATCTTTCTGCATATTTTTCTATATATCAAAGATTATATTACCTTCGAACATTTGGATCAAGTAATATATTACGGCATAAGAACCGCATGTGATGGCAAGCCATATTCGAATGATCAAGCGTCTCCTTTAAATAGCAAAATTTTCAGTGTATCTGTATCCTTCATTTACTGCGTTTACTCACTCAATGTTAAGCAGACGCTAACAAGTACCTCTTTATTACGCTTATTTAAGAAAATTTTCTAATAGGTACGTTCTCTGTGCTTTGGAGGAGGACTGTATGGCTGGAAATCAGGAAGAAAAGATGCACTGTGGATTTAAAGGCGATCGATTTTCAGAGCCACCAAAGTGTCACAGGTACAGTGTTCTTCCGCTGAGCAATCATTGGTAATGGAAAATTGCCTAAAATATGTGTTGAGCAATTTTTAATCCGTAAAGATTATTATTTGTAAAACTCATTCTATATTTTGACACGCACGCACAAAACAGTTTCTACTAGTATAATCGCAAAGGAGGAGAAGATTTAAGATTATCGTTTCGGAAATGCAAAGCCGGATGTTCGGTTCCGGGCATATTGTGAGCATAAAAAATTTCAATGGTATCACCATTAAAATTCCATGACAATTCGTTGGCAAAATATCATTTTGGTGAGCAAACTTCCACGAATACCGCTCATAGAGGAATGTTATGCTGGGTAGTCGCGAAGCAACGTGGCGCGTCTCCAGGTAGCGAATAGGGTGTTGATCGCGAACAAAATGCGATATTTGCTTCCAGCAGATTCTTTGAGGTCGTCATTTGGAGATTTTAACGGGAAGACTAGTCCCAAAAGAACGTCTGAACAGTATCACATTGGGATCCTCGGGTTATAATGGAACGAGTTGGGTGTGAACCGTTTGGGTTTATCATAACAAACGAAACCATTTATGGTAACTTGAAATTTTAGAAGTCCTGGTCTTAAATCTGGACGTTAGAGTCTCCCAATGGAGATTACCATAACGAGAAAGCGAACATCATACTCACCGATGTTGCTGTTTTCCTAAAATTCAACACGGGATTAGATCATCGTCTCCTTTATACAAGACATCATTTCTCGCGAAAAAGAGAACAGCCTTTAAAAAACGAAGTACCGAAGCCACAATAAGATGAGATTAATTCAGCTCAGTAGCCGGTTGTTGGGAAGATACCGTTCATTGTAGAGTCGACGAGGAATACGATCGGTTCATCTAACATTTTCACAATATTGCTATGAAGACTGATAGTTCGAAAGTCACCAAGAGACGTCTGTCTCCAGAAACGCTCGAGCTGATATGTCAGCGTGGAATGGCACGAGCTACGGACAACTACGAGCTCACGTCCGTACTTGCATGACAATGCAGACAGGTGATATAAGGTTTTGAGCAGAAAAGAGCAGGAGTTATGGTCAAAGCTGCAAATGCTATGAACAGCATTCGTGAAGCCAACGGGAATTTTGACAATTGCAAGAAAGCTGATTTCACTGCAACGCCCGGACAGAGCAACTGCAGCATCCAGAAAGACAAAGAAGGACATCATTCACGATTACTGCTCCGACCTCTTCATTATCCATGTCATTCGGCCCTCATATGAAATAAAGGAGGATGGATGTGTCATCCTACCGGTTCTCCCTTCCGAAATCCGGCATGCCATTTCGTCGGTGAAAAATCGAACAGCAACAGGCCCTGGCAGCATAAGATCTGCACACCTAGACGACCTTTCGCCAGTCCTCATCAACACACTGGCTCGGCTCTTTACAGGTTATTGTCTGAATACAAGGTCCTTATTGAGTGGAAGACCAGCAACACCGTGCTTTCGTTCAAGAAGGGTGACCTACACGATATCGGCAGCTATCGCACAATCTGCTTACTGTCTGTCGTCTACAAACTTTTCACTAGAGTCATCCTAAACAGGATTTACAAAACAGCAGACGAAAGATAGCTATGTAAGCAAGAAGGGTTTCGGAAATGATTTAGTACGATGGGCCACATCCAAACGATAACAAGGCTTATTGAAGAATCGCGAGAGTACAAAAGACCGCTCTGCCTCACTTTCATCGATTTACAGAAGGCCTTTGATTCACTTGAGACAGAAACAGTCATGGAAGCCTTTGATAGTCAGGGAGTCCCTTCACAGTATATATAGATTCTTCTTGAGGTGTATAAAAATTTCAGAGCTAAAACATAAATTGTTGTAAGACGACATTAACATCTACGTCAAAACAGGGCCTAGACGAGCGGATAGTACCTCGGCAAAATTGTTGTCACCCTCGAGAACTCATAGGAACATTGGAATGCAATAATATGGGAGTGAAAATCGGTGTCTGGCAATTACACCATTTTCGCTTTGCTACTGACATTGCTTTCATAAAAAAAAGTGTTAGCCAGGTGAAGCAAATGCTTCCCGACTTTGATAACACCTGTGGAAAGATTGGTCTAAATCTCACAAAACGATGTTTATGAGAAACCCTCAAAATAGGGTAGTTAAGCCATCTGTATAATAATGATACTATAATGGCGAAAGGAGCCGCGCGGCTGAAAATATCGCACCACCGAGTGACTTCACTATACCCTAGAAATATGTGTCATCCGATCCTGCTAGCTGGCCAGTAGAGTCTTATCCATTGCATAATCTCTTATAAAAAGAAACAGTAGTTTTAGATTCGACCAATCAGTTGTCAACCTTCTGGCAGCAAACGCTTTCTACTATGACAGACATTACTACGCCAGCGAAATTGTCGACTTCTTCAGTATCGAGCGCAAACTACCGTCCTGATCATCTTAGCTCTTCTTGTTTCCAACTGAAATTCATGAACAAATAGGCTGCTTATGGCGACTTTACTTCGCTTCGATTCAATTTGCTTGTTCAGTTAGAAAAACCCGCACCGTTTTTGTTAATACAAAATATGTTCCACTGTTAGAGGCAACTCAGAAATGAGTGCTTCATTCTGCTTAATGAACCATCTTCAATAAGAATTTGTAATGCCCGCTCATTTATGGGCAATTAATACCCAAGGAAAAAAATCAGGTACCATGGAACTCATCTTCATTAAAGAAACTCAAACTATGCACACACTTTTAAGCTGTTTCTCTGTTACTTAGGATTATGTATAGTATCGAATAAGACACAGTTTGTTTCTACTGTAAATAAACTTCAACAAGGTTTATTTTAAATATCTCGTTTTCCTTTTCAGCAATCACGAGGTTGTCATTCAGCACATGTCTACTTCTTTACAAAACTATTATATATTCATATTTGCCAATATATTCATCTCCGCATGTACTAGAAGGCATCAGGTATATCGTACCTGAACTCGTACAGACACCGTCCCTGCCATAAGGGCGAATTACGCAATTCTGTGTTTCACAAAGATGGTCATATAGGCTGTTACGAACTAATTGACGACGAAGAGTATTCGGTGGTATTTCAGTTATCGCTACCGATTCCTCTAGGTCTGCCCTTCCTAAGCATCACTTTATCGCTGCACTTATTTCATCGCTAATAAAAAGGCAAAAATAAGGAAATTTTGTTACGGCCAAACCGTTCGTTTTGGAGCATCGCTCTTCTTCTAAACTTACCTTGTGGAGTTCTAAACAGATATGCCTTCATTCACATTGACGACGCTTGATTGAGTCAAATGTTAATGAAGTCGAATGGCACATCCCTAAGATATTGATCAATGCTGAACAACACACCCTCTTTATAGCTCATTTCTTCTCTATAAACGTCGGCATAAATAATCGACATATTTATTCATATGCTCTTATGAACGGATCTTGTTGAGCCGATGCGAGGTTGGTACCGTTCTTTTTGCTGTTGTTGTTTGTTGTTGTTGTTATTTGTTGTTTATTGTTGTTTGTTGTTGTTGTTGTTCTTTTTTGTTATTGTTTTTTGTTGTTGTTGTCGTTTGTTGTTGTGTGTTGTTGTTTGTCATTTTTATCATTTTGAAATAAGCTGTCAGGTCAAGGTTGCTTCATTTTAGCGGTGTTTCAGTGAAGAAGGTTGGATTCGATACGACAACGAGGATATGCCACATCGAAAATACAAACGACCGTGGACGCCAACCATATCACCGGCTCTGATGAAGACGAAGGCGTCAAAACTTTAGCGGACTAAAACGTATAGCGATCTCGTATAAGCTGAGCAATTCAAGGCGATATATTGCTGCTTTGGTCCAGCCACCCATTTCCGGGGTGTTATGTCCATATTCATAATTTGGAAAATTAAATCATGTTGCCTGGAGAGAACATTTTTCGAATGGGGATCTGCCACTTATTGCTATGTGGTTAATAGAATTTATAAAGTTTTTCCCTAAAAATGTTTAGTTCTAGCTGCTCGACAGAAGATCTATTTATTTATGCGTTCATACAGGGCTAGGCTAAAAAGATGAGGCAAGCTAGATTAAAGTGCGAGAAGGAGAACTATCACCTTTCTCTGGAGTTTTTTAAGCAGAATCCAGCAAATAGCGATATTGACCCTGCATTTCGCTTTTTTTTCTCTCACGAAGCGTGCTTAATCACTACCAATACAGAAAGTTAAGCTCCAACCTTATACACCAGTAAAAATGTTGTATACTCTAGGTTAGAGAGTTTTCGAATTCAAAATTTATCCCACTTTCTATCAGTGATAAAGATGGGGAACTTGTAGTTATTCCCAGTCAGTTGGATGTTGGAGTAACAGAAAAACATCTCCATGATGTTTCTTCCTAACAACCATTCTTTGAAAAGCAATACAGAAACCAATATCGAAAACTAAATTAAGAATGGGTCAACACGGCAAAGACAGCGGACTTAGAGCCTTCATTTATTCCTAGCTAAGGAACGAACATCCAATTTGTACTGCCCTACACTGGCTTATTAAAACTCATAAACTTACTTCTATTGATAACCTCTCATCCACCTAACCTTCGTCATTCACGGTTTGCCCAATCGTCAGTAGTATAACTTTTATAATGCTGAGATATTTGCAAAAGTCTGGACCGCAGGTGTCTGCGTTGGGGACCGAACGCACTATTGTCCTTTCCGGGGACACGTTCACCACCACACCATGCAGGTCCTTCGTTTCGCCTGTCTCTCAGCTAGTTCTATCGATCACTTGCTCACTTGCGACCAGCAATCACACGTTAACGGTATTTATCTAGGGAGCCCAAATCGGCAGTGAACCCTGTTTAGCTAAGGCTATAGTTACATTGACAATCTTAATCTTTTTATATTTACTGCCTATTCTTTTTAAACAGTATCGCATCTGTAGTATAGATGGGCCAACAGATAGAATAGCGTGGTCCCTAAACCTTATCCTGACCCAACTGCTACAGTGCATACCAACGTATCTCCCCAATACCAAAATATTCCTACACACGGTGCGCGCTAACATGTAGCACGCATGTAATAGAGTCATTCGATGTTTCTTCACTTTATACCAATGTGTTGAATGACTCTGCAATGCAGGCCATTCTCGAGCTGCTCATAGAGCATGAAAAGGAAATGAAAATATACGGCTTATCGATTGCGCAACTAATGATTTCTTAAAACATTCTCTTAGTTCCAAAGATCGACATTCTACTAACATCGGCATTGGATTATAAATCTGTCGTTCTCTTTTTTTCAGCAGTCACGAGGTTGCTATCCAGCACAGTTATTCAGTGTCTTAGTTGTTCAATCTTTAGATGGCCTGCAAAGTATTTTGCAAAAATTAGAGGGTTGGTCATGGGACAGCGATTAGCACCAAGCCTTGTCATCGCTTTCATGTATAAGATGGAAGATCTAGTTTTCGACCGCCGACCTTTACTCTACTGTCGGTACATAAATGACTGCTTCATCGTCTGTTCCACACAAGAACAGATGGATGAGTGCTTTAGATTGGTAAGCAGACAACCAGAGTATATAAAATCCACACAGGAAAACCAACCAAAGACTGGCCTCCATTCTTAAACATTCAAATAAAGCTCTCAGAAAGTGGCTATATAACAAAGTGGTATCGTAAGCCAACTAGTAAAAATGCACTAGTTCACTACCTCGGGTGAGAACTACATTAGAAAAACTGGTAGAGCACTTTGTGTCCACATAAAAAACTTCTAGAGGGAAAAGTAAAAATTCGACAAAGTACTGTTCTGGGTGTATATAGGCCACAAAAGCACAACGGCGATAATCTTCAAGTGAGTGTCCGGATCCTAGCAAAGAAATCAAAAACATGAACGCACAAGACTCTTGACACATTCTGGATAGATTTCAAAAGTTTAAAGATGAAGAGGAAAGACGGATGGCACACTATCATACATGACCTGGCGCCCTACTTCAAACTGATTATTTGACCCGGCTGGGTCTCACTCGTTATCGCATATGAACAACACACGGGTGCTCCCACTTGCAACAGCATGATGAGTAGTTGGCCAAAATGATCAAGGGCATTTGTTAGATCTTCTTTAATACTACAGATGTGTCACACAATTAAAAGGCTGTTATTAGATAAAATTCCTCCACACTCCGAAAAAGGCGATGCCACTGAAATGTCAGCCTCCGAAAAATAGCAACGACAGCAACGAAAACTTATGCCAGGCTCATGTTATCTCAACAAGGACATTTCGTAAGAATATACGCGTAGATTTAACGATTATCCATCAGAGGCTTGCAAAAAGCTGGTCTTTTGAATTATCTGGGTTCCTGCAGTTAGCGAATACTTTACTGTCGCCCGCCTCAGCTGAGAAACCATGTGAAAATATTGTCACTTTTTGTTTACTTGCAACTATTCTCTAATGGAAGATATTACATGAAATAGAACCACAATGATGTTGAAATTTTGAAAACTCTGGACCAGTGGTGTGTACGGTGGAGACCGAACACGTTGTTACTATTTCTGGTGGCTAACGCGTACTCCACCACGCCATGCGGTTTCTTCGTTTAACCTTCCTGTCAGCCGAACTGATAACGCCTGTGAGTTAATAAAAGGGGGGATGGTAAATCTCCCCGCTGTATATCGCAGCCCGGCACCCAAGAACACCTCCTAGCCAAAATGAGGCGGTAAGCCTTTGAGAGGAACTATGGTTTTTTTGGCCTGCAAGTAGTGACTGCCTATTTTTTCACACAGGATGTTGCAGTATTGTGCGAGTCTCAACATTTTTTCCGTTCGACTAATTTTCTCGCATCCAACATTGACAAACCTTCTCAGATCTGGATATGGATTCGACTGTGGCTTAAGGAATTCTGCTCCTCTCTATGAATACAATTGAGTGCATGTCAAGTAGATTCTCTCCTCCCAATTTCGGAATAGCCGTGTTATGGTGTGCCAAGATCCTCATCGCGGATGGTCACAACACTTTTTGAATCAGGAGGAGCATTTACAAAACAAGTTTGGAAGCAATTTTGAAACTTCGAAGGAGTGGAGGTTGGGCCAGTAACAAAGCAAACCGGAAATCATAATGCCCTTTACTATGGGGCATTAATATGAAACAACAAAGTTAACGAAGTTAAAGCTTTCGTTTACGAGACTTCAAGAACCAGTGCCTTGCCGATCTCACACTTCAGTTAAGTAGAGCTTCAACAGATTCAACGTCATCTCTACTGAAAAAACATTTTTTAGCGAACATTTTGGATTTTTAACTATTATAATGCTGAGATATTTGCAAAACTCCGGACCGCAGGTGCTTGCGGTGGGGAACGAACGCGCTATTGTCCTTTCCGGGGGGTAACGCGTTCACCACGACACCATGCGGATCCTTCGTTTCGCCTAACTCTCAGCTAGCTTTGCTCCCCGAAAAGGACAGTAACGCGTTCGTTCCC